CTGGTGTATAATAAAGACGGCTTAGAAGCTTTTCATGCATCATTATACTGAAAGACCACTGACTAATGGTCAAGCATTGACCTTAACACAGTTTTTTATTGGTTATAGAGAGTTCAGAGGGGGCATGGTTCCACCATCAGAAAAATATCCCTCATCACCACTATCATAATCAGAAGACAAAGGACCATAACACGCTATTTTAAAATATGTTGACCCGCCTGTGCCCCACAAATCATGTCCGCAGTTGCAAGCAAACCAGTCTTTACACAAATTGCAGCTCTTTAACTCACAGGGTAGATAGTGTGGTCTCTGGGATAGCTCAGAATCCCTGTTATAGTCTAGATCAGAAAAATCTGCAGAAGCTTTGTGACCACAGTGATTTCCACAGGAATATAAAATTGGGGTATCTTGATGTATTTGCTGTCTAGGTGTTATTAATTCGGAGCTTGCAAAATATAAAGCACATCCTGTTAGTGTGCTATCCGCTCCAGCAGCATTTACATTATCATAAATAAAAACATATTTACTTACCATTGCTGGGAGATAATGTAGCATTATTCACCATTTCACAGGCTATCCGGTAAGTATTCTGCACCTCATCATTAAAGTTACAACACACCATGCTACAGCTGTGCAACACAGGTCTGAATAAAAAAAATTCTTTATCATAACCCCTGCAACAGATTTTGTTGCATTCTGCCAGCTGGGGCCTTGTGTCAAAGCACGCGACGCTAGCTTTTGCTGTTGGTTTAAAAACAGCTTTGGAATCAGAGGTTGCCATCTTCAAAAGACTGCTGGAATTAAATCGCTAGCTGTTCAGGCCTGCCCACACAAACTCTCCTGCACCTTGCAATGACATGCCCTTGAGCATTGCGCATGCCCAGAATCATGGGGAGTATGACATGCCTGGGATGTCCCAAACAAGGCCTAACCCCCTTTTTTACTAGCAGACAGAAACACGCATGCCCGGAATCACAGTCCTGACATGTCTGAACATGCATACCTGCCGCCTGACTGCTTGCCTCTTGTGAGCATTTTAATTCCTGTTAATATTCCTTGTCTTTTGCTGTAGGTGGGCAGAATAAATTTTATTAAGGCTGTGTTTCGAACGGTTACGTGTACATGAGGATTTCAGAGTGCAATTGGCAAAATATAGGTCTTTAGATTTTTACAAAGGTAAAAACCAGCTGCAGGGTTTTAAAAGGGCTGTGGTTTGTTTGTTTGTTTTTCCCCTGCATTCGAGGAAATGATTTTAAAGCCACCTAGAAATAAATACCTTTTAGAAAAAAGGGGGGGTTAAATGCAGGCCCTGGCTGCCTTTTAGGGGCTCCTTTTTCCCCAGCTTTTGAGGCACTGATTTTTAAAACTCCACAAAAATTAAAAGCATCATTAGGCTAGAATGATTAGAAATAAAAAGCATTTTTTATTTCACAGCTCCCCAAAGAAGGGTTTGTTTCCCAAAAACACAGGCCTCTATTAATTATTCACTTTACTTAACTTTTTTGGTTTTTGAATGTGCATAGAATTAGTTTAGGGTTAAGCTAATCATGTACCCAGAGGATTGACTGCCACATCTTTCTTGATGGGGTTAGGTTCAACAGGCCTTATCTGAAAATAGGGCTGCTATGGCTACTAATGCTTATCTTGATGGGATTAGGCCAACACGTCACTTCTGCTTAGGGACATGACCTGGTGACGTAATCAGCACGTGGATTTGTTTATTTTGATGACATCACTGATCAAAAGTGCTGATAATTTTCAGTAAAAAATTATAAAAGTATATATAAGGGGACCAACTTTTTTACAATGAAAAGGAGGACACAAATAAATTGAAGAAAAAAATATCGTAAATAAAAGAAACATTTTATTCATTGCAACAATAATGCAGAATACACTATAATATGATAAATGCATAATAAAAACATTTGTAACAATAACATTTTATATTGTAATTATGCTTACATGCCTATTAATTATTATTTAAATGAGTACTTTTCCATTGAATGAATATTTTTTGTCAATGTATCATCTTCTAACAATATATTGGAAATATCTGAACAAGAAATATCCTTCATATTGAATTTTACGGCAAGTACTGCAGCTAGAGTATCAACTTTCAATCTCAATTTCTCACTTTTCCAAAAATCATTAGCAATTGAAAAAACCCTTTCAACTGCTGCATTAGTTCCAGGGCAGCACAATGTAAATTGAACAAGAATAAATAAATTTTCACATGGAATATGTTCATTTTTGAAATGGCTGAATATTTCCACCCATCTTTTATCAATTTCAACATGTTTATTTTCCCATTGTATTAAGTTTTCATTATTTAAAAATACATTCAGTCTTCTAATTTCTTCAAAGAGACAATTGTTGTCTATTTTAATATCTGGCATTTCTTTAGATAAAAACTCAACACAAGATTCAATATCTGTCCAATATACTTGCGATGAAGTCAAAAAAACACCATTGAAAATTGTTATTTCCTGTGATGTTTGTTTCAGACCATTCTTCGATATATTGAAAACATGTTTGGTAAAAATTCTGCACTTCTTTGATAAACTTTTCCATTATGCCCAGATTTGATTCTTCTAAGTCTGACAATTTTCTTTTTATAACTAAAGGAAGAAATTTTTCTTCAAATCGAATTTTATATTGAAGGATAAAGTCATTCAAAATAAGACTAACTTCTGTAGCTGAAATGTGTTCACCTTCAATCTTTTGAATCGTTTTGTGAAAAATAGATGCTTGATTATGTACAAAATACATTAATATCTCAGATATTTCATTATTGAAAAACGATTCCAGGATTTTAGGACATTTGTCTAAACTTAAAAAATATGAACGGAGAGGCTCAAATAATTGTAGAATATGCTCTATAGCATGTGTTAGAGCAAGCCATCTAACTTTTGAATATCCTAAAAGTTTTTTGTATTGAACATTCGCTTCTTCACAAAATTGTTTTAAAGTAGCCATACGAACGGTAAAACGACTAAAATACAAATAAATTGTAGTTATTATTACTTCTACATCAATTGGCATGGCACCTAACGCCGTGTTGATTGCATTTGACAAAATATGTGCATTACAACCTATTCCTAGCATTTTCTTTTGGAGTAAATCTTGTAATTTTACATACACATTATTCACCCCTTTGCATCTTCGCCGACCAAAATTTGTGTTTGTATTATCAGCTGTTAGTGCAACAATTTTGGATTTCAAATTGTTTTCATTTATTACTCTGTATAGATGGTTTGACAAAATTTCAGCAGTTTTGGCCTCAATGGATTCTAAATTTAAAATTTTTACTTGAATGCCCTTGGTAATATTAAAATATCTTACTAGTATTGGATACAATTTAGTTTCATTATGATTCAATGCATCAGATAAAACTGTTACAAATGCTACAGTTTTCAAGTCTTCTGTAAGTATTTTGTCACAGTAATTTTTAAATACTGATTTAATAATAGCCTTGCATTTTGTCCTGGCACATGAAAATTTAGCATCATGAAACTTTTTCAATAATTTAGTTGTACAATCCAATACTAGGAAAACTTTGATTGTGAATTATGGTATGGTATGGAATGCAGATGTTCCCTCCATTGCAGTTAACTGTTTTTCATCTTCAGAATACTTTGAAGTTTTAAAAAAACTTGTTACTTTACAACTGGAAGCAGATGCATCTGATGATTGCTTATGTTTCTTGGTGGTCAAGTGTTTCGTAATAGCTGCTCTGCCCCCAACTGCAATACAAAATTCTCCGCTGCAAATATTGCAGAAAACAATGTTATCTTTCTTTGATGTGATGAATGGAAATTCCTTATTCAATTTATCATTGAAATGGCATTTCCTCTTTTTTGATTTTTCCATCCCTAAATGGAAGTTAGTCTCCTCCAGGTATCTTCGGGACTAACTAGGAGATGGGTAGCAGGAAGGGGTGCAAAGTTCCTGCCAATTTGCCTTTGCTGCAGACAACTTGCATGTGCAAAGTTTGCCGGCCAGGTGTTTTGGCACACTCAGCAGCAATTCCTATTGGCTTTCGAAAGCCAATAGGGGGAGTAGCACAGCTCATGCAAAAGTTGAAAAAAACCCATAAAAAAAAAGGTGCCGGAATGCTGTTCTGAGCGTTCTATGAGGGGAAAAAAACCCCCTGCAGATTAGTCTTCAAATATCGAAAAAAACTTACAAAAGGAGGACTGTCCTCCCTAAAGGAGGGCAGTTGGTCACCTTACTTGACTACTTCTACTTGGGTGAACTGGGGAATTCTGAGTGTGGAGAGCCACACATCTTAAAACTGTCAACTCTTTGAATCACTGACTGTGAATGAAGTAATTTCTTCATATCAAGCCTTGTATTGGAAGAAATGTTTAATTAGGGATGAGTCCACAATAAGATAGGAGGATTCATGCAATCCTACCATCTTTGCTATTAGCTTTATAGCAGCTGTCTCTGGAAAGCCTCTGCCTTTATTTTTATTTGCGCATCTTGTAAATGGTATTTGGAGACCCATTCCTTCCAAACTGGGAGGCTATCTTTAGCTGAGTAGTCTGCCAAATAGCCTCAATCCGTGAATTCATTTTAAACCCCTTTTAAATTTATCGTCTAATGTTCAATTCCGTGAATTTCATTAAATTAAATGGTATTAATTTCTGAATAGATATATACAGGAGGTCTGTATTTGAAGCCTTTTAAAGTACGGTATTGGTTGTCAGGATCGCATAATCTCTTTCAATGGCTCTGGGAAAAGCCCAAGTGTAGCAATCAGCAGTTAAGTTTCGATTTGTTGTGCTCATTAACAGTTGATACTCATCAGCTTCATTCTTCACTTTAATTGCCCTTCCTACCTTCTTAGAGTAGCGCCATAGCTATTTACATACTCCTTTTCATTGCATCCAACCAATGATAAGCTCAGAACGACGGGAGGGTTCTTCCGCCGTCCCAAGGCCTGTGACTAAACTGAGTGGCTGAGTTTCGCCAGATCCCGCCTTTTCATCGTCAGGCTACTGTCACGCCATCGCCCCGTTTTCCCCTTTGCTTCAGTTCTTCCTCCGGACTGGAGATAGGGAGGCGGCCGCCAAGCTGGGCCCGCGAAGAGTTGGTGAGGGGTGGGGTCTTGCTTGCTGGGACCGCCCAGAAGGAAGCCTCGCCGATTCTTGGAGGTGGCGCATACCCTGATTTGTATAGCCGGTCTCGGCGTTTCTCCTTCATTTTCGATCGATCCACTAACGTTTTGGCGTTGCAGCCATGCAAAGAGTAGCTATAGTCACCGGCTCCACCAGGTGAGAGCGGATCGCTGAGATAAAGATTGGAAAGGGGGGGGGGAGGATTTAATCTGTTTATGTAGTTAATTTGAAAGGATGTGCCGGTCCCATAGAAGACGATCCGGCAGGAGTAGCACGCTTACATCCAGTGGGATGATGAACCAAATGGGTAAAAGGGTAGGATCGGTAGGAACTTGAAAATATTTTACTCTATTGAATTATGCCCCGGCTACATTTTTTTACATTCTTTTAATATTTTAATTTTTGTTGACTGACTTTTAAGAACAACCTGCTTTGTGCTAACCGTCCTCTTCAAAGCTCGGTAAAGTGAACGGGCTCTGTGGGACAGGGATAAATGCGGTGAAACAGAATTAAATTGCATATATTAGTATAATAAATTAAAGAATGTCTTGCTATTTTTCGTTCTTGTCACCTAGCTTAATGTCTTTGCATCCCTTAACGAAAAGCAGGATAAAGGCAGAACAGCTTGACTTTTTACTGACTGATAGCTAGAACACGATATTCATGTTAACTTGTCTTTCCATAAGTGAAAGGGTTAGAGACTCAATAAATAACTGGATCTTAAAAGAAGGGATCCGATAGTTGCAGTTTTCTAATGATATCCAGTTCTTTGGTTAATGAGCCAACAACCTTCTATCAAATATAGTAATGGCAGATAAATCTTTTGTGCAAGTCTGTTGGATCTGTACTCAGAGAATTGGGTAATCCCTTATAAATGAGGTTTTTTTCTTCATTATAACAATGTTCTACCTTCCCAACATTTACATTTATCATATCTACACAACAACAGTGAGAGTATTTGTCACATGAAAGGAGAACAGGGATGCACTATAAGCTGGATCCCTTTCCAAGATCCTCTTCTGCATGCTAAATGAAGTCATTGAGGACTAAGCAAAGCCATCAGTGAAGACATGTTTTGGGGTCTGCTGGATTACTGTTCCTACCCTATTGTTTCTCAGAACTATTAATTTATAAAACCTCTTTTAACACCTCCAGGAAAATCACTTTGGTATCAATAGAATGCATACATTTAGAGAGAGATACCAGGAAATATACTTTCTCAACTGTTGCATAATGAATTTCATAGAGGGTTGATAGTGATACTCTATGACAGGCCTTAACTATATGTTGTTACTCTTGCAGTGGGATTGGTTCTGCGCTGTGTGAACGTCTGCTCCAGGAAGATGAAAACATCCATCTTTGTTTAGCCTGTAGAAATATGGAAAAAGCCAATGCCACTCGTGACAACCTATTATCTTCCTTCCCCCGTGCACACATCAGCATTGTTAAAATAGATGTTGGCAGGCTGGAATCTGTCCTACATGCAGCTCAAGAAATCAAGATAAGGTATAGGGAGGAGAAGGGCAATTAGATGAGTAGCTAGTTAGAAGCAATATATGGCGGGGGGGGGGGGGATTGTTCCTATACAGTATGTAGCTCAGGAAATCCTGCTCAATCAGTTCTCCAGGGTAGATTTCTAAGTCATACTTGTATTGCATATTTCTACAATAAGATAATCTTGAATAATTTCTCAAGTAGTGGCTATATTAAGGATACCAGCCATTTTTCAAAGCAGACTGAAACATTCAGTAGCAGAAACAAGTCAGGACCAGCCACAGAATGACAGTGAGAGGAGGCAATGGAGTCCTTGCACTATTTCTTCTGCAAACAACTGAGAACCTTGACTAGCAAAAAAGCAATAGAACAATGGAAGAAAGGAAAGGGCATAGCTACAAAACATGCTTTTTGCTGGTCTCTGTAACTGCAACTAATTCTAATTTTACTTTTAGGCTTTAAGCAGTAGTTGTTTTAATATACAATGGCTGGTGCTGATTTTTTTCCCCCTCTTCACTGACCTAGGATGCTTTTCTTATGGAGTATGAATTATGGAATATGTAAAAATTGCTGCCATAAGAAAACTGGAGAATTGTTAATCCAAGCTTTTCTTAACTATATTGGACCAATAACAAAGATAATTGTGCTTATGTAGAATGTGAGTAAATAGATGGTTTGGGTATCCTTTATAAATATTGGAAGTTCGTCCCCATCAGTGCCAAGAAGAACGTCTAATGGTGTATTGTAAGAACCATAATCCCACTGCTTAATGTCTAAACATGTCCTTGTACAGTTGACAGAATCAAGTAGTAATACTTTTCCTGGACTCTTTGTCTTCAGGCATTTATGTTTAAATACTCTGTTAAGAAAAGAAAACTAATTTTCCTAAATGTGAATGCAAAACAAAGGTTTTTTGGTTTGGTTTTGTTTTGTCTTCCTGCTCAGTGAGAGGTCATTCTAAGATCAGCCTTCTGCTTTCTCTCTAAACAGTTCAGTTAAGTATAAATATGAACACTTAGTCCAGAAATTCCTCTTTGAGGAAGATATGGTGTTATTAGGTATTACATATTGGCGTATTGCATTTCTAGATTAGTTATGTATTTAAGCCTTTGAAGTTAAAGAGGGTTTTTGTTTTTGGCAAGGCATTTTGGAGACTGCCTGATTCTTCTTGCAATAACCAGGTTTTCCCTTCATTGTATAGATTTCACCGATTGGATTATCTCTTCTTGAATGCTGGGGTCATGGTCAAGCCACATATCAGTTTCTGGGCATTTTTACGTGGCCTCTTCTCCAGGTATATTATATAAGCTGGGTTAATTGTTCTTTTTCTACATGACTCTGAAAAATTCCTTCCTTCCTTCCCTCCTTCCTATAGGGATCAACCATTTATATTGCCAACAGCAATTTCGATAGAGGACACTAGCCAATTGTATGTTACAGAAAAATACAAGTGTTATTTTCACTGAAGTCTTGGGGAGCATCTAAAGCTTTACCAAAAATTGCTACACATCGTTGCTTGAGATGATGGAATATTTTCGATTATAAATCTTTGATATTGAACAATTTTTACTGTAAAGACCACCTACAAAAAATAAAATGGATGTCCCATACTCAGTTTTAAATGGTAAAAAAACATCCCTAACATCTGTCCCCAATTTGATATACCACCAAGAAAATATGGATGAAAATCAGAAAGAAATTCTCTCCATGTTGAAATCAATACAAGAGATTATTGCTTTAGCTCGTGATGAGACTAAAAATAACACAAGATAAAAGAATAATTTTCTAACCTAAACAAACCCAGAAAATGACTACAAAGAAGGAACTAGCAACCCAGAAATAGAAGGAAAACTAGAGGAAGCAGATCCAAAGATGGAGGACCTAAAGGAAGGAACTAACAGACAGACTCAGACAACTGAAGAACTAGAAGACGTAGCCATCTTACCAATCAAGATTTCAGAACACATTTGAGGAAAAAGAAGAAGAACTGATTGAATGGAAGATAGAGCTGTTAGGAGAACTCTGGGGAATTGGAGAAGGAGGGAGGCTGTTTAATGAATGTTAATATTGGCTGAGAGTTCTTCCAGAAATACTTTAAACAAATAGTCTTTTTTATTCTAAACTATATACACAAAAACAGAGGAAGAATTACTTGATGATTCAAATGCATTGACTAGGAAAGTTAGTTGGCAAAGGAAGAAAGCTAGAGTAAGACTGTAGAAAATAGAGGTTTTGACTCATTAGTTGGGACATTATACTATTAATTAGATGTTTGAATATGATGGAGAATAGATAATTGCTAGAAATACAAGTATTATTATAATTAGAAAGATAAGATTTGTAATTAGAATATTAAATTTTGGTGTGAGAATGGAAAAAGGAAAATGCTAAATAGTTTGAATAAGGGAAGTTTTTGGTTACCCAAATATAACTTACTTTGGAATGATAAATAATAGAGACATTTTGAACACTAATGGAAAATTAAAATTAAAAAAAAAGTGAAAACAGGATACTGATTGAACATATGGATGTTAAGTGCAAATGCAATTAGGATATGTTTTGGTTAGAAAAGATATTTTAAACTGACATTGATATTATTAGAAAAATGTAACAAAGATGTTGATATTTAATTGTGTATTTACTAATAACAAGAACTGTATTTGCCTAGTGTGGGAAAACAGGTACTATCGGAAGAAGAGAGGAAACATTTGATGGTGTAATATTGGATATAGACTGAAGAAGTTAATTACTAATGGACCCAAACAACAAGTTGTTTATTAAGTATTTGATTGTAAAACTAGAAAATTAATAAAATATTTATAAAAATAAATAAATAAAACTTTACCAGAGATTGCTAATGGTCAAGTTTAAAAAATCTAGACAGGAGTTAAGGAGTCTACCAATTCTCACAATAACAACGAAAAATCAGACCGCTACACACATGCAAGGAAATGATATTTTTGGTAATGATTAAAGGTTCGAGTCATTTCATTGGTAAAATTAAATGTAATGTCTTATCTTCTTTTCAGCAGAGTATTTCGAATGCTCTCCACTGCAGAGGGGCTGATGACCCAGCAGGACAGGGTCACTCCAGAAGGCCTGCAGGAAGTCTTTGCAACCAACTTCTTTGGACATTTTGTATTGGTAGGGAAGTTTGAAGCAAGTGCTTGTATGTCTTGTAGTTTCAACTCCTGAAACTAGGCATGTCATCATAGCATTGATTTTGTAAAGTTGCTGTTTCCCAGTTCTATAGGCTTGAGATCTTCTATAGAGGGATGTCAAACTCAATTTCATTGAGGACCGCATCAGCATTGTGATTGCCCTCGGGTGAGCGGTTGGGTGTGGCTAGCATGGGCATGGCTGGGGTAGGTGTGTCCAGCTTGACATTGCTCACATTGGATGTGTGTGCAGGCCTGGGGCGAATCCAAAGGTCTCCGGTGAAGGAGGGTGGGACCAGGGTGAGCGCTGGGACATGGTCCACTGGAGAAGCCTCACCATCCCTTTCAGGCCATGCTGGGGGGCCCCAGAAAATGGCACAGGCTGCCCAGAGCCTTGGGCAGCAGAGGTCAAGCACCCAGCCCTTGAGTTCAAGGACCCCACAGCCTAGCCTAGCCTAGCCCCACTTCCCCAAGGGGGCGCCCAGCTGCCTCCTCAAGGCTGCTGCTGCTGTGCTTGCTCTCCTTGGCCAAGTTGCTCGTGGTGTTGCGGGAGGGTAAAATGTGTGGATCAGAGGGAAGCCCACTCCCTCTCCATGCAAGAAGACCCAGCTTTGTAACCAAAGCATCCTCAGCGATAGGATGGGAGACCACCAGGAGAGGTCAGGAGGAGGGGACAAGGGGATGGCGAAAGGGCAGCAGGGTTGCTCGGGGCCAAGTGCTAAGGCAGGAGTTCCCTCAGGCCCTTCCTCTCTCTCATTATAATCTACCTTCCTTCCTTTCCCCCTTTCTTCTTTTTCCTTCTCTCTTCATTCTCCTTTCCTTCTTCTTCCTTCTCCTCTTTCCTTCTTTTTGTTTGTCTTTCCTCTTTCCCTTTCTTCTTTCCTGTCCCTTGTTGGATGCTCAAATGCAAAAGGCGGAACATTTCTCAATGTCTCCTTGCCTTGTGATCAAATGCCTTTTGCTAGTAGTCTGTGGCCACTTCAAAACAGAGAACAAACCAGGCTCAGTTTATCCCATGCTTGCATTTAGTGGGGGCATCCATAGACAACAGTACAACAGAACTGCCAAAATGGTGGCTGTGATAGTTGATCAGAGCTTCTCTGTTTTTTATGGGCAACAGCTTTAACATTTAGGAACAGAGGTAAGTTAGTTGCTTTTCTATTAATACATAATCCTTAAAAGAGCTCTCCTGAAGGGACTCTGCCATGGTCTAATTCAGACTGGAAAGGAAAATATTTTCCCCTACTCTGCTTTCTCCTGTTTTCCCACTGGAAATGGCTATTTGCAACACACAAGGAAGGGATACTTTCCTAAGGGTTCACAATTCAAGAATACCAGTGTTAACTTGGATTGCCAATAAAGTCCTGTCTGTGACAAAAGAGAACACAAAATTGCTTTCTCCTTTGAGCCCAAGTCTCAATGGATCCAGGATTGAAGCAGAACTGTGTGAACTGGGGCATCTTCAACCAAGCTGCCTCTCCTTCTTTCCTTCCTTTTTTCCTTCCCTCCCACCCCCCCCCCGTTCCTCCGTTCTTCCCTTCCTCTATTCCTTCCTCCCACCCTCTGTTCCTCCCTCCCTTCCTCCCTCACTTTTTTCCCTCTCTCCCTCCCACCCTCCTTTCCTTCCTCCACGCTCAGGAAGGGGTGATGGGAGGGGGAGAGATTGCCAGCGCTGTGGGTGGGCGGGAAGTCAGCCTGCGGGGCAAGACAGCCAACAGGGACGCCGGACTCCGCTTGCGCACGTGCCCAGGGGACAGGATGGGGCTGCCCCGTGGATCTAAGGCTGAATGCATTCTGGCTTTGATGTTTGACATGTCTGCTCTATAGGCTTGGTTTGTTTACTTTCAGATCCGGCAGCTGGAGCCTCTGCTGTGCTGCCTTGAAAAACCTTCCCAGCTCATCTGGACTTCTTCAGTCAATGCTCATAAGTCTAACTTTAATTTTGATGACATCCAACACAAGCAGGGCAAAGAGGCCTACAGCTCCTCTAAATACTGCACTGATCTTATAAGTGTGGCTTTAAACAACCATTTCAACAAGCAGGTGAGGCCCAGCTCTTCCAATAGCGGACCACAGCAGAAACATCAAAGAACAAGTATGCTGTCCATGTGGCTAGAAAGATAAGAATCAAAGTTTGTAAATAATGCATAATTGAGATTTCTAAATCTTCAGAAACAGAGAAGGGGCAGCTTTATAGATTTCAATACCTTATAACATCGGCCTCCATAGCAACTAATAGAATCAAGTAAGGTGTTGTAAACAAATGTGCATATTTCAGATAAGCCTGGAGAGCAATTTCATTCCATTCATTCATTCTGTATTGGCCTCAAGGCCAAATACCTCCCTTTTACTCCTCTGCTGTTTATATCCATGAAAAGCAGAAGAGACCATTTTGGAAAAGGAAGCTTAGAAAAATATTTATTTCCTTCTTTGGGGGTGTATTAGCCAACAGGCATAGGTGAGCATGACTATGCGTAGTGTCATTATATTTTATATGATGAACTTCTCTCCACCTCCCATCTCTTCCCCTCTCCCCTTTTTCCTCAACTAGGGTTTATTTTCAAGTGTCATGTGTCCAGGTATTGTAATGACCAATCTAACTTATGAAATGATGTCCCCTCTTTTATGGAAGCTGTTTTTTCCTTTCTTCTGGCTGGTAAGTGCCTTTTGAAGTATTATTGCACCACAGAGGTAAAGTTGAAGGAAATAAGGATTGATTCAATTTCACAAAGAATCATAAGAAAAACTGAATTTGCACACCCAGGATTCAGCGTAATGTAAAAAATACAAAAATTGTGCTGTAACTATCTCTTACTTTGTTATACAGGGATAAACTATTTCGTACCTGCAGGTGTGAGTATGTTCCTAAACACCGATGCCCAACAGATTCTCTGCCCTATTGACTTTGTAAAGGAATTCTTTGCAAATAGAAGCTGGCATATTGCCAAGGGAGGCACTTGTCTTTAGAAACATATTTATTAAGAAGTCTACCTTTCTTTGCAAAAGTTTCCATTGAAGTGATGGTTCTGGCTTATCTTCCAATAAATGGATGCTTTGTTATGGCTGTATTCATTGTGGCAAGGTTCCTATGGTGGCCATTTTGTGATTACATCCAGTATATCAGAGGTCTCCAACCTTTCTGGACTTGCGGCCTGGAGGGAAGGAAAGTAGTTTCCAAATTGGTCACGCATGCACACGCACACGAACAGGGCCATGCAGCATTAGCAGCCCCATTCATACATGCAGCATGCTCTGGTGCCGTGCACATGTGCAAACAGGCCGCACAACCCACCCTGTGCTAGTGACCCCATTCACGCATGTGCAAATGGGCCACGCACACTCGCCCGGTGTTAGCAGCCCCGTTCATGCATGCGCAAATGGGCAGCACACACCCACTTGGAGCTAGTGGCCCCATTCGCACCCGCGCACATGCACCAATGGGCCCATGGGCACTAGCGCAAGTGGGGAATGCGCACCCACATGTGCACACATGAACCAGCCATTTCCATGGCCCGCTGGCCAAGAGCCGCAGCCCATAGGTTGGGGACCCCTGCACTATATGATGTTAAATTCCAACTAGTTTCTTAGCTCAGAAAGGTTGCCCATCCATCGTATATAGTAGTACCCACAGTGCAAATCCTATTTGAGAATTTTCTTACTGGAATATTAGAATGGCTAATATTCAGTGAAATAGTGAAACTGATTCCTTTGAAACAGATTTTTTTTAGTTTAGTGTGTTTTCAAGGGGGAAGAAAATGCTAACTTCTTGCTTGTTTTGCTCTACCAGTTACGCCTGTGCACCCCTACATATACTCTGACACCATACAATGGAGCAGAAGCACAGGTAAAATACTATTAGATATATCCATGGCTTAGGGCACCTTCACATCCATTTGGTTCTGTCATGTCCTATATAGATCCATGGCTCAAAGCTGATAGCAATTTTATTGTGGTATAAAGCAAAACTCTTGCAGATATTGTGGGCTTGGTCTTCCATGTGAACTTAGCACATTTCTTTTAATGAAAAAATAGGCAGTAAAACTAAGCAAATAATCTATAAAAACAGTGTATGACATACATAAAAGATTTCTTTCCCTCACAGCTGTGGACTGCAGACTAATCTTGTAGAGTTAGAAACAGAAATAGAACTCCAGCAGTGACCAGGAGAGATGAGTTTGCATGCACCCTGAAATCAGCAAGGTTCTCTTATAACCTGAGCAATGCTTCCATTTCTTTTAACATATTGGTATTGCTTGTGCTCTAGACTGACCTGCTTATTATCTTCTTTAGGAGTTTCTCTACCATTCCTTAGATAGATCACCCTGTTCCTTGTTTTCTGTGACGAGGCTCCCAGTGCTAAGATATGAAGGTTCTCAGCACTGTCATGGAGTGTCTTGAATGGAGAGTCCATGGAATAAGAAATGTTTGGGTTCCCTTCTAGATTTGGTTGTTTAAGCAGAAGCCAGAGTTGCTGGATTCCCTGGTGAAATATCACAGTTGTACTACCATTTTGGGGAGGAATTATACTGAGAGCCGCAAGGTAAGTAAATTCTGTTGAGGAAGTGATACAATAAGCACTCTTTTTGTAGGGTTGTAGGGTGCTGTGCAATACATTTCTGGACAATTCTACAATCAGGCAGTGTAAATTAGGGATCCCACTGAGGATTATCAGAAAGACCTTTCCAGCACATCTTATAAACAACCACGTAGGAAATGTTAATGAATCTGGAATTTTAGAAATTGGAGAGATATTTCTGTGTAAGCCTTACTCATTGCAATAATCCCCATTTATCCAAAAATTTTATCCCCTAATTTTCTTATGTTAGACCCTAGTCACATACAGGTAGTCCTCGAGTTGTGATAGGTCATTTAACAACAGTTCAAAGTCACAATAGATACCCAAAAAGTACTTATGACCCAGTCTCAAAGTTATGTATGTTGCAGCATGTTTGTGGTTGTTTGCCCTTACAACCGGACCAGGACTGACCGCAGAGACGCTACAACATATCTCGTCCCACCACCTATTTCCCCCCTATCCTGCTCCAGTTTGCCATAGGCACTGAGCCTGCAGGTTATATACACTCCTGCCCGCCTGCCATCACTGATCGCTTACTTACCTTTCCAGAGCTCAGGATGTCAAGGTAGAAAAAGAGGACAGACCACTCCATTATGCAGCCACGTGGTGCAAAAGAAGAGTCTTTCTGAGATGCTGGCAAAGCTCTGTGTTACCAATAAAACTCTTCCCATGCTACCTCTCCCTTCCAGCAAATGCACACGACCACATATTGCCTCTTTCTCCCAGTGAATGCAACTTCTTCTCTTGGTATCATTCTCCCTTTTCTCTCTGCAAAGACACACAAACCACACCGCCTCTTTTTCCAAGCAAACACACATATGCAGCAAGGAATAGTTTACACACACACACACACACACACACACACACACACACACACACACATCCATTCCCTAAGAGCACATAACATTTGCCTGCAAAAAGAGGGAGAGTGATAGCAAGGAAAGGAGTTTGCTGCTGTTTCTCTGGGAGAAAGAGGCAGCATGTGGCCACATGCATTTGCTGGAAGAGAGAGGCAGCATGTAGCAAGAAAAAAGTTTTGCTGAAAACTCAGAGCTTTGCCAGCATCTCAGAAAAAGCTGCTTTTCTGCCATGTGGTCCAGTTAATGGAGCAGCCTGTCCTCCTTTCCCACCCGGACATCCTGAGCACTGGAGATCTTTGAAAGGTAAGTGAGCGATTGATCAGTGGTGGATGCAGGGGCTGGGTACAGAGGAGGCCCAAGTGAAGGGTGGGGGAAGGCATAGGGAGGCCAGAGGAAGGTGGGTCTTGTTCCTGCACTAGCTCCCCCCCATTGTCTTCTCCACCCTTGATTTACCCCTCACTCACTTAACAACCCATGCATTTGTTTAACAAATACATTGAGGAGAGCTGAGGTGGAGGCTCGTTTACTTAACATGAATTACTTAATATCCTCCTATCTTCCTACCTTAATGTGCAATTACGGTTGTAACTCAAGGACTACGTGTACACATTTTATCATTCTAAATACTATATGTGAGTTGATTTTACTGATAACCACTCTGTCCAGATGTTGCAGACACATGTGGAAATAAGGTTCTTTAGGCATATCCCAAACTGGATCTTGAGAAATACACAAACCCAGCATTTTGAGCTTGTCTCTCCTCCCTCCAGTCTAGTTCCCTGGGATTTTTCTATTCACAGCTCTTAGGGAGAGATTCAACTGCTGTAACATGCAGGGGTCTCATTTAATCTTGTTGCCCTCCAGCTTTTCTGACATTGGATTTGCATTGCAAATACTTTCAGTGTCAAACCTACAAAACTACTTTTGGTCACAGCCATCTTTCCTCTTCATTTTTTGGCTTGCCACAACTTTGTAGGGAGACAAAATGCATTCTTCTGTTCCAGACAAAACAATAACTTTCTTATGGGAACCAAGGTCAAATCCGTTCAAGTGTTTGGTGGGTACATATTTAGTGGGTGGGGAATATAACTTTTACTTTGTAACCTTTTGGGGGGGGAACTTCCAGTCTTGGTTTCACCTTTGTTCATGCTGATATTATGTAGCAATTAAAATTGTTCTTTGAGGAAAACAAATGCCTCACAGTTCTTACTTCTTTTGGTTTCATCTATTGGAACCATGACATTCAGCTTCAGTGGTTTTTAATTGGGCAACTTCATGGGGAGAAAAATGTCACAGAAGACAGAAGCTGAGTTAGCACTTGAAATCTCCCCCATCAGTTTAATTAATTAATTAAAATTAATTTATTTTATTTTATTTATTAAATGCATATGCATAGTTAATTATTGCTGGTTTCTTTGACTTCCAGATGGATATTAATGAAGACACAGCAGAGAAACTGTACAAGAAGTTGTTGGAATTAGAAAAACAAGTTTTAGTGAGCAACAATCACCCAGATAAAAAATAGCAAGACAGCGGTTCATAGGAAAATGTTTCTTCCACTTGGAACACTCTTTGTTATTATTGTTTGCCTTTGCAAATCAGATTTTCCTAGTGGACTGCTGTAGATGATTGTGTGACTAGAGTGTGAAAGAAACTGGACAGTTGCTTGTCTGAAATGGTATAGGGTCTCCTGCTTAAGCAGGAGGTTGGACTAGGTCCTCCAAGGTCACTCCCAACTATATTCTGATTGATTGACCTTATTTCTCCTCACAAAGGTATTTTTATAATATTTTTTGGGGCCAATATCCTAATGGTGATGCTTTTTCATTCAATGTATGCCACCCCCACCTGGGGCCTCAAATAGCCCTGCCTTGGGGCTCCAAGTACTTTGACTGTGGCCTCAAACACTGTCCTGGCATTGGATTGTATGAAAGAAATCCAAGCATCCTTCTTGGGACCCCAAAACTGGTGGGGGGGAGGGGGACTGACAAACCAATCTGGACTGACAAAGCCCAAGGAGGCACATCCTCAGCAGATTCTGTAGCTGCCAGTAACAGTTTGTAGATCACTCCTCTGCTTTCTCAAGGTCGATTCAGCTGCGACAGCTTCAAGTTTATTAGTATGAGGTCTCTTGCAGCTTGGATTTAAAGCAATAATTCCATCTGGGAGAGACTGCTCTAGGAATGGGCATACTTTCTCTGAGCAGAAGACACATATTGGGAATATTGAAAAAATGCTCAAGAAGGGCTTCATTCTAAAAAGCATAGTGGGATAACAAAATTTCCATACATTGCCTTCTTCCTGATAACCATTCTGCATGTAGTAAATCTATCAGTGTATTCGCAGCGGAGCAGCTAGTTCAGAGATGGCCTAACAGCTTTTCTATCACTCTAGTTGTTCTGTTGTTGTAAATTTGCAAGGTAACCTGGTTGGTCTGCAAACAGAAGTTATTGGTCATCTCTTGGACTATCCGATCGAGTGTTGTTTTCTTTATAGGTATTCTTTCCTCTCATGTTTTTGGGAGGGAGAGAAAGGCCTGCTCTGGTTTCAGTTTCTGAATTAGCCACCCGATGTCCATCAGTAGATGTCCTCCTGGGTCCTTCTGCAATATTTGGGTGACTTTTAATAAACTTTGCAAAATATTCTTTCAAGCAGTCAACCTTATTTATGACATTTGATAAAAGTTCATAGATTGAGTTTACAGTTTGAGCTGTAAGCAAACATTGTCTGGAAAGGAAGCCTGTTGCATTCTCCCTTTTTAAATTTGTTACATTCCCATCCTGGGCAAGGAAAGCGGCTGCTGAGCAAACTGCTGAGTTCTAAGGAGGGGAGATATTTTCTGTGAGAGAAGCAGGAAGTTCTATATGCTGTTTGCTTTCAAATTCAGTTTATAAGTCCCATTCCAATGAGTCACATAAATTAGATCTATCTGGCAAGGAGACTGCAGATGAGTTACTTACTGCAGTAGACTGTCTACATGCAGTATAATCTTCCATTTTCTGCTGCTTCAATGGCTTGGAAAGTGCACACTGTCTCTTTCTCTTTTTCCCCATTCTTAAAAATCCTAGCTTGTTAAAATGTAGGTAAAACACAATGGTAGCCTCTCCAATATATATGCTTTTATAAAAAGTCATACAAGAGTTAAAATGGGTTAAAACTGGGCTAAAAATACAACGTTAAAAAAATCTTTACTTTTGGAGGCACTCTTTACAGTCTTTGCTGCCTGTCCACCATCTTAGCTCCACTTCCTCATTATGCGATAAAGAATTGTGCAAACAATTACAACATCATTAGATTATGCTCAGTGCATTTTTATATATGTATGTATGTGAATAGCCTACAATTGGATTTTTTACTGTTTATGGCCATATGGTTGTAATAAACTGATTTGATTCCTTTTTTCAAAAGACTGTATAATCAAGGTAATAGTGTTGAGCATTTCTGTAGCTAAAGATGCTCATGTTATTAATTTTATTTTAAAACTATTCTTTTTTTCTAACAAGATAGTGTTTATTTGAACAAGTCATTCTGCCAAGCCAGGTCTCTCTCCATATACCTCAAGGTCTAAGGGAACACCAGCTTCAGTTTTTATTTTTGTCTTTTTGTTGACAAACCTTTCAACCACTGAGTATGCCCCAATTTTACAAAAGGAATTTACAGTACCTCTGAATAACGGTGTATGCAGCTGACATTGTAAATAAACTTTTTGAATAAGTTGTATCTCAACAGCAAGATGGTCTTCTTAAAGTCTGACATCCTAATTTTTTCCATCATTGTTTTTATTTGAAATAAATTCTTCTAATGATTGCAGGCAAGTTGCAGTACAATTTTATTTATGTTTATACAGAAGTCACTGTAGCTTGAGTGAAATTCTCTGATAAATATTAAGGATTTATTGAGGAAGATCCGGGCAGCCTAGTACTTTCTAGGGATCCTAGATACCAATCCTCATCAACTCTAGTCAAGAAAGCCAGTGACAAGAGAATTAAATCAATGCACTGTAAAGAGTACCAGATGATCAGACCTGCTTTAAAAATGCCCCCTGCCAAAACAGTATACCAAATGTATATTAACTGCAATGCATCAATGGAGATAAATAATCTTGCCAGGGTTTGCGAAGGCCAAAAAGACCTCTTTTTTAAATTACTGAAAAATGAAAGCACAAAAGATCCTGGGGAGTCGGAAGTATCTTTTTGGTATATTTATTTAAATAGTGTTTGCAAATCAGATGTGGTATTTGAGTATTTCCAAGTGGTTCCCCCACCCAGTCTTTGACCAGGTCCAGATCTTAGCTTCAGTCGGAGAAGAGTATGTATCACATTGCTCAAATCCATAATCACATATGTAGGTATATTCAATAAAGTACAGCGTACTAAATGAATCACTTAAATCAGAACTATCCATTTTCCAGAACATTCTTTAATAATAAATGCTAAATTTGTATTTCCTAGACTATTAATATTTGAAAGCCCACACATACATGAGTTTCCAAATGCTGATGAAAAGTAATTGTGTTACATTAAATTGAAATGTTAATCTGTAACCAAATTTAATTGAAGTATCCTAATTTGTTTATCTCCAATTTTATCATTCCTAGTATGAATTTGCACTAAATGAACTGATTTCCCTAACCAAACATTAAGTAAGGGGAATGGAAGTCTTAATTTCTTGGAGATAAGATTATGCTGGCTGGGCTTATCAGTATTGCAATATCAGTGGAGGTTTAGGTGGAGTGTTATTTTTCCTTCTTAAAGAATTATATACCAACACTCATCAACAATATGAATCCAAATACATATATAGCTATCATTCAGACCGAAAAAATAGTTTTAGAAACTAGCAAAAAATTCTAAACAAGTTTGGGGAAGATGCAGATTGTACTACTTGATTAAGGTCATGGTACTAATACCAAATAGTTATAACCATCATCCACAGGACTCTGTATTTCCAGTCACTGGAACTTTCCCTGCTGCTGCGATAATGGTATCTTGCCTTCTAGGTCAGTGGTGGCGAATCTATGGCACGGGTGCCAGAGGCGGCACTCAGAGCCCTCTCTTTGGGCACGCGTGCCGTCGCCCCAGTCCTAGGCCTTCAGCTGGGTTTTATAAAATCTTTTTGCTTTAGGCCTCTGCTGCCATGTGCAAAAAAAAAAAAAAAAAAAAAGGTTCAATCAGTCAATTTCAACTTCTCGCAGAAAAAAAAAATCTTGCAAAGTTGGAATTGATTGATTGAACTTTTTAGTCCCACCCAGTCTGCCATTACCACCGCAGCCATGCCCACCCAATTGGCCATGCCCACCCAATTGGCAACACCCAGCCAATGGGCCACACCCACCCAGCACTGGACGATGCATAAGTGGGTTTTGGGTTGCAGTTTGGGCACTCAGTCTCTAAAAGGTTCGTCATCACTATCCTAGGTAGTCCTGCAATGACACGGGCTATTTCAGACATGCAGGAAACTAGAAAGGACTGCAATTAGAGCACATCAGAATCCTGCCGGCTGAGCAGTCCCTAGCACCAGTGGATAATTCTGGAAAACTTCCTGTAGAGCTTTACTGTGTCCCCTGGCTTGAAGCTCCAAACGTGAACCATCTTCTGGTGTCTTCAGAACTTGAAAGCTTACTAATGACATTTTAGCTGATAAAAGCATATCGGTATTATTGTTTGGGTTTTTTTATAATGAAGCAATGCAATAAGTGCCTTTAATCTTTTTGAGACATGTTTTTAAGATGTATTTTGAATTCTGAGAACACATTGGCTGCTATGAAGAACTGGACAGTCAATCATCTGTAACCAGAAAGCAAACTTGTCAGGGAAAGAGGCTAATTTTTAGACCACCATGATGTTTACAAAAAAGAGGAACTCATCATTTCTTTATCCTAGAATGTTAAATTTAATTTGATACCAGCATATTAGTGTCAGATCTTTAATTTGATAGCCACAATCCACATCTTAACATATTCAGATTTAGTTTAAAGGACAGAACTCATAGGCACCATATCTGCCCTAGTGTTTGGACTTTCTTACTTTTTTTTTTTCAATTCTTCACTTTCTAGAAACATTTTTAGCCTGATACATTGCTCTAAAGGAAATTTACACATGTTTTTCTGCCATTTTGGCTGGCCTTAATAAAGGTATTACATAAATGTAGCTGGAAGAAGGGAGTGCCAAATCCTTCCTAAAAACTTGCAAAGAAAATTGCAAGGACTCATCTAGATAGATGCCAGGAGCCAAACTGAAGACTCTATAGCTATTTTCTCCCCCTTCCCCATTAAAAACTAAAAGGCAATCTGGGGGCGGGGGGGGGTGACATATGGAAATGCTACAATGCTTATCAGCTCAAATAATGGATGTCAAAAGATGTTAACCAAGACTTGAAAGACCTGGCTTTAAAAAAACTGGAATAAGAACCTTCAAAGTCCATTCATCATTTTTATCTTTTCCCCAAACGTCCTTCATATTAGTGTGGTCTGGACTTTGAGCTGATTACTACGTCTGATAAAACTAAGTCACCGAGTAGAATTATTATGTACATATTCATTGATCTTAAATTGTATGTTCCCAATGAAACTTTGAGCCTTTATCTCCCCATTTCCCTCACCTCCTTACCCACTTTGTCCTTGTGCACAGCAGCCCACCAGATGCTCAATAAAAGACCTGTTTTTGCTGCCTGCTTGAGACCAGACTGCATTTAGCTTGCCCGGTAGAAGTAGCTAAATGGTCTTGTCTCTGCAGTCTTTTCAACAGACGCCTCTTGGTGCTTTACTTTGCTACATCTGCCTATTCTGCCTGCTTAGGGCTTGGCTTTGGTAGCAACCATTTCCTAAGAGGAATGCCCCATGGTTTTTTTGGGCCCAAATATATCTTGAAGGCTGAGTTCCTTTTCCCAGGCTGGAATACCCTTGTGCCGGATATAGCGGGCTTTCCTAACTTCACCATAAGATTTGAGGAAATCAGGTCTGTTGTACATAGTCCTGAGGCGTCCATCAGCAGCATAGGCCTCAGGATCCATGACCAGCCTCTCACGATCGAGAGAAGGTCTTCGATTGTCAGGGAGATTCATGGGCTTGGTGACAATAATGGTATCTTTGGCTCGAGGATCCCTTGGCTCTTCTTTCACTGAGTCTTTTCCTTGCTCTTCTATGATATCAGTGTCCTCCCTGCCCACAGACTCTGCTGAAATATTTAGCTGTTTAGCCATGGAGTCTTTAAGACTGCTCATGTCTCTGTCATCAACAATATTTGGGTCTTTGGCCTCCAAGGGTGGCAAGTGCTTTTTTCTCTTTCCTTCATAACCAGAGACATCTCCACTGAGCTTCCATGGATGGCTGAAAGACTGCTTTGTCCATGCAACTTCCCCAGTCTTCGGCAATGTTTTTCTTCGCGATCTAGAAAAGGAAGAGAGAAATGCTACTTTTCTTTCATTAGTATTCTCTTCACAAGTTATCAGAAACTACTGCTGACTGGATTGTAGTCTCTAATAGAGGCATGGAAAACCCACATATCTAATCCATCCTACTGGGGATCATTATCTTGCCTGGTAGTACCTCTCTTCAGGAGAGAAAAGAAAATTGATAGAAAACAAATCCTTTTCTCCTCTGCAAGTCCTTAAAATAATTCCTGTTAATATCACTGGAGACTAAATGAATGTGGCCCACTGCTTCTCACCTCCAATGTCTTTTCCCTACAGGTAGTCCTTGGTATTTGTAAAATTTATTCACCACCCATCTTACCATAGGGTGTTCTGGGTGACTTACAATCATAATTACAATTGGTAGTGGAATTTTCATTGTAAAGCAATGCAGTTGCACAATTAGGTTAGCTCATTCATGACTATTGTTAAGAGGCTTTTCTCTGTGTAACCTCCCCCTCCCCCATGTTTTCTGATGGCTTCTTCCATATTTTCTCTTCTCTTAGTAAAATTCCACTAAAGAGGGAAAGACTGAAGAGCCACACAATAGCTATTGAATGCCAGGGGCTCACTAAATTCAGTAAGGACTGGTCCTTCTGAGGGTGTAACCTGGACCATTTGCATCTTAGTTTCTTACTGTTGTACTGACAGGATACCATCCCTCAGGGATCTCATGTTTTGCTCTTCATTTTAAAGCTACAAGCCCCACTGTAGCCAACTAATAAGGTGGAACTTGCAGCTGTAGACAGCCAAGGCTCTGACATAACTGAACAACTTTAAATGAGGTCAGTTTTTACCGCAATCCTGTATAATGGAAGCCAGCAGAATTCTGCACCACCAGAGAAGAAGGTAGAGGCAAAGTTGCTTTAAAGCGAATATGTCCAGGGCCCAATGAGAATTTCTGCTTAGAGCAGCCTAAAGAAGTGAAAAAGAAATAATTGCTATCCAGTTTCATCTCTAAAGTCAAACTAGACAATAATAAGAGAATACATGAACTGTCTGAGAATGATGATTTTTTCCCCTCTGTTATTTCCAGGGAAAAGCAATCAAGAAGTGTCAATTTGAGAATAAAGAAAGGGCCTGCTTAAATCTGTCCACGTTTATGTTTACTGTTCAACCGTCTTTTATTACCCCCAAAGGAGAACTTTTTTTCTCTTTTCCTCAGCTTGGACAGTGCTTCATGCATTTGTTGAAGTGAATTTGAGCCCAAAAAACCATATAATGGCTTTTAAGGTGCACTTTTTTTCCAGGTAAGAGCATTATTTTAAATTGATATATTCCTTGAACTGTGTGATGAGCAGAAAATTAACACAATCCTCAAAAGAAAAGCTTGATTTTCCATGAGCAGGTATCGGGTAAGGGAGAGCAGGCATGAAGTGACCTGCTGAATTGGGCTCTGGAGCCGGCTAGATAGCTCAGTGGTTCTCAACCTGTGGGTCGGGACCCCATTTGGGGTCGAACGACCATTTCACGGGGGTCGCCAAACAACGCAGTCCGCCATTTTTTTCCCCTTTTCCTTAGCTGTGCTACTCCCTTTTATTCTATTGGCTTTTGAAAGCCAATAGAATAGACTCTCTTGAATAGAGTCTAATTCTATTGGCTTTCAAAAGCCAATAGGAATTATCCAGGCTGTCTCTGCCCTGCTGAGCCCGCCAATAGTCTCATTCTGCAAACGGTGCTGCACCAATTGAGTAGTCCTCGACTTACGACTGGTTGAGTAGTCCTCGACTTATGACCGGTTGGGGGTCGCAGCATTAAAAAGGTTGAGAACCACTGAGATAACTGAAATACCCCTTCTCTCTTTGTATCTGAAGTCTAAAGAAGATGTGGCAAAAAAAGGACAGAAAGAGATGGAGTGTTGTGTAGCATATGCTCTTCTTTCTGTATCATGATAAAAACTTGTCATCAGCTGTATCTACTAATTAACCACAAGCGCCTACAAACATATTCATTGTAGCCTAGACCAGCTGAAAGGGTACACTGGCTGGAGAATGCTAAGATTTTAACTATCAGAATTTAACAATGCAAATGATCCTCCCTATTTATTAAGATAATCCAAAGAGATTTGCCCCCAAGTTCCTGCAGGATGTCTTGGAGCAACCTGAGGTTGTAACTTTTCTTTACCTGCTCCAGGTAAATTTGCTGAGTGCTTGATCAGTTTTTTAAAGATTCTAAAAAGACTCAAGTTAAAGCAGGCTTTTAACTGTTGATCTTTCTATTTTTGATCTTAGCACCTTATTGTTCTCATTCATTGTTCTTATGTAGTAATGAGTGGTATCACAAGAAATAAATAATCACTATAGTGGATCAGAACCTCCCCCATCTATAACTGTGCCCTTGCAGTGTCCAAGCAGGTGTATATAGGAAAGCCCACAAGTAAAACATAGCCACCAGTTATCAGTTGGAAAAAAAACATAATGGAAGAAATATATAATTACAATGAAGACTTGTCTAATCCTCTTTTAAATCACCTTTAAAACTCACCTTACACTGTGTTTTTATTCTTCTAGTTTCCCATTATATATTAGTTATGCACATATAACATTTGCTTTATTACATTTGACATTTTCATATACTTTTTGCTCCAATTGAAAATAATATTTAAGTTATATCTTTTATGGACTTAGAATATCTTACTGTGTATTTTACCAGGTACTTTCAGATAATTTGAATTAAAACCAGTGTGTCAACTCTACAAACGAATTTGATTGAAGCCATTTTCCCTTCATTTTCGGTTACCACAGAATTGGGAGGGGGGATGGGTATTTTTAGTTTAGTCAAAACAATGAATTGTTCTGTGGGAACAAGGTCATGGCTGATTGCATTTTGGCAGGGTAAAGCTTCCGTTGGAAAGCCCGTAGTTAATTGCTTTTTCACTAATTGTTGTTCCATAATAAGGTATCTTCTTTTATCATAGGACTTGAATTTTCAGAGATATTCTTGTGAAGGCCCCTGACAAAAGAGTTTTGAAAACTTAAAAATATGAAATTTCATTTCTGCGACATTGTTAATGTATTACTTTGAAGGAAAACACTCTCTAGGGATTTGGAGGGGGGGTTGTGCCTTCAAGTCAAAGTTTTATTCCTGGAGATCACCTGAACTAGTCCCTGCAGATTTCTTGGCAAGATTGTTTGGAAATGGTTTTTCATTGCCTTTTAACTAATGCTGAAGAAAACTGATTGTTCCAAAGTCACCCAGCTAGCTTTTATACTAAAGTGGGACTAGAACTCACATTCTCCTAGTTTTTAGCCTGATGCCTTAACCATGGCACCAAACTGGCTACTAGAAAAATTGGCAGACTGAAATACTTTTGTTTAAATTGCCATTCAAATTATGTACAACAAGTAAACCTTAATTGTATTTTGATTAGGGCTATTTCTCAACTCCTATAAATCAAATCTACTCTTGTCCTTTCTAAACAACTAGAACAAAATGTTGGATGAAAAGAGAGGCAAAGGCACCCTCACTTTTCTGCAACCTTAGGAGTTCCTGCTGGAGTCGCTGCTGTTCCTTGGTCATGGTGTTCAGATAGTAGAGTCGGGCTTCCTCTAAGCTGCGCAGCCCCAGGGTGAGCCTGGCCTCTGCCCTCTTGACATCACGTCTCTTTGCCTCCCAGTGTCTTGAAGTTCCTCCCTCTGCCATGCTTATTTGAAAAGGCTACAGAAAAGCCTATCGATGGTTATCCTAGAAAGAAAGAAAGAAAGAAAGAAAGAAAGAAAGAAAGAAAGAAAGAAAGAAAGAAAGAAAGAAAGAAAGAAAGAAGAAACTCCTGGTTTTGGCCATCCTGGGGAGTTCACTTCCAGTCCCTCTTTACCTTGGGATAATGTTATCCTGAACCAGAAAAATGTATTATTTAACACTATTCCAAAACATTTTACTGACCTGTGGCCCTAGAGCATTTCTGTCTATCAACTTTCAAATCTTTCAGAACTAAGACTCCATGTCAGTGTCATCCGTGCGCTGGCATTGCTAGTTGGCTAATTTTCCACAGGAAAGCAATCACCAGACTCTGCCATCCCCCATGTCTGTTGCTCATAGTTTTGTCTGCATGAATGGGAAGCTTCTTCTATAGCTCATTCAGATTCACTCTGTGAAAAAAGCAGGAACCCCTGTCTTCCTTTTGCCTTCTCTCCAGAACAGCAGTTCCTCAAGACCCTCTCAGGGGTCCATAAATCAAAATCATCTGCCAACTTACCTTGAAAAATAAAATATTAAAATCCTATCAAACATCAAATTATGGGAAGTGTAGCAATAGTTAATGCATCAATTTTATTTTTTTAATTATGGTAAATAATTTGGTATAATAATTTACCAATGATGGTAAACCATAATTTACCAGCTATGGTAAATCAATGCATCAATTTTAATTTTCAATTATGGTAAATACGGATAAATATAACTCATACAAAAAAACCCTCTTTTCGGGTCCTCTATAATTTTTAAAAATGGGAAGGGGTCCTGAGAGAAAAAAAATTAAGAAACGCTACTCTACAAGATATATGCCTTTCCAAATGTCATAGGATACAGGATGCAAAAACTGCAGCTTCATAGTTTCCCCCAATATAAGCAAAATTTGAATCTGAGGGCTAGAGCCTTTAAAAAAACTTTATTAAATATTAATTTTTAATTTAAATTAAAACAATTAAAACATTTTAAATGAAGTAAGTTTAGAGTCTAGGACAGGGTCTCCAAACTTGGCAATTTTAAGACTTGTGGATTTCAACTCCTAGAATTCTTCAGCCAGCATGTCTAGCTGGAGAATTCTGGGAGTTGAAGTCCACAAGTCTTAAAGTTGTCAACTTTGTTGTCAAAGAATTTTTTCTCAAGTTTTATAGGTATTGTTTGGAATAAGAATAAGATTTTCGGTAATATGTTCATTTTCAAGGTAACAATTCTTCCTAATATTGACAATTGCAGGTTTTTCCATTTTTCCAAATCTAGTCTTATTTGATTCAATAGTTTCGTATAATTATCTTCTTTTATCATTGAACATCTTGCTGTTAAATATATTCCCAGAAAGTTGACCTTTTTAACTCTTTGCAATTCTGTTTTTTCCGACTTTTGTTTTTTTGCTTACCTGTAAGGTTTTTAATTATTATTTTAGTTTTTTCTCTGTTTATTTTCAGTCCTGCCATTTCACTGTATTGTTCTATCTTTCCCAATAGTTTAGGAATCATCTCCAAAGGTTCTTCTAAAATAAATACCAAATCATCAGCAAATTGCTTGTAATTTATATGTTTCACCTTTTATTTCTAGTTCTTTAATTTCTATATCTTGTCTAATATTTCTATTTAGAACTTCCAAAGTGAAAATAAATAACAATGGAGATAATGGACATCCTTGCCTTGTGCCTTTTCTTATCTCAAAGTTCTTAGTATAGTCTCCATTCACAATCATTTTCACTGTTTGTTTATTGTATATTCTTTCTATCATGTTTATAAAGTTCTGTCCAGAGTCCATTATTTTTAATTGCTGAATCATAAATTGCCAGGAAACATTATCAAATGCCTTTTGAGCATCTAGGAATATTAGTGCCAGTTGTTTCCCTGGATATAATTCATAATATTCCAATTCATCCATTATTACTCTTAAATTATTTTTAATTTGTCTCTTTGGCAAAAAGCCATTTTGTTCTTAATGTATAAATTCAGTTAGAAATCTTTTCAGGCTCTCTGCCATTATTGAAGTAAAAAATTTATAATCCACATTTAGTAACAATATCGGTCTATAATTTTTTATCTGTGTCAAATCTGAGTCTTCTTTTGGTATTAAGGTATTTGCTTCTATCCATGTATTTGGGGGTTTAGCCTCCAACAAAAGTTCATTGCAAACGTCTTTCAGCGGTTCACTTAGTATATCTTGTAAAGCTTTATATAACTCTACCGATAGTCCATCTGGCCCTGGTGTTTTCTCAGGGTTTTTTTTTTTTGTCTTCTTATGGCCTCTGTTTTTTCCATCATTGTTATTTTTTCCTCTAACATAATCTTACAGGTTTCTGAAATTTTTGGAAGATTATTTTCTTCCAGATATTGGATCATTCTCTCTCTTGGAATTTCTTCTGTGTCATACAGTTTCTTGTAATATTCTTTAATTATCTTTTTTATTTCTTCATTTTTAAATTGTAGGCAACCTTTTTCATCTACTAAATTATTTATCATTTTCTTCTTCTGGTTTTTAAGTTTATAAGCTAACCATCTTCCTGGTTTATTTGCATTTTCAAAAAAGTTTTGTTTTGCTCTTTTTATTTGCTGTGCCAATTTTTCTGAATCCAACAGATTTAATTAAAGGGTTGTGATCTGCCCGTGTACCTGGTTCTATCTCAGTTTCCTGCATATTTGTCCTCAGTTCAGATGTCATCCAGATCATGTCGATTTTGGACCAGGATTTTTGACTGTTTGAATAAAATGTTTATTGTAATTTTCCTGGATTGATTTCCCACCAAATATCTTGTACTCCAATTTCTTCTATCATATTAAAAAAGGTCTTAGGTAATTTTTTTCTTCCAGTTTTTCCTGTTTTACTACTTTTAAAGTCTAATGTCCCATCCACTATCGCATTAAAGTCTCCTATTAAACAAATATTTTGGTGCTCCATTTCTATTATTTTTCTATGGAGATTTCGATAGAATTCTTCCTGGTTATTATTTGGTGCATAGATTACTACCAACAATGTTTGTTTTTGATGTAAGTATATTTCTACCATCACAATTCTTCCTTCTTCATCTGAATAAATCATTTTAGAATCTATTGTCTCTTTAATATATACAGCAACACCTCTTTTTTTCTGTTGTTTTGATGCATGGTAAAGTTTCCCAGTTTTGGGGTATTCAACAGCTTATAATATTTTTATATGTGTCTCTTGCAAACAAATTATATCTATATTTAATTTCTGTAGTTTTCTAAAAATTTTGTTTCTTTTTGATGGGAGTTTAGTCCATTTATATTCACTGAAAAAGTTCACTTTTCTTTCTCCATTTCAATTATTTATATTTAGGTCTAGTCGATCTTGTAATCCTCTGTTCTCTGGCAGTTCCTTCACTATCTTGATCCAATTTCTCTTTCTGTTCTCCTCTTTGTATAATTACTTCTTCAGTTGCTTCTTCTATTTGTTTCTGATCTTTTCTCTCCTCTTGTCGATGTTGCACTCCTTCATCTAAGAATGCTCGATTTCTTTCATCAAAATCTTCTGCTTTCCAAACTGAATCCAATTGGTATCTTGTATTATTCCAGTTGATTAAAATCCCTTCTGGCATTAACCATCTGAAATTTATGCCTTTTGCAATCAGCTTTGTAGTTAGGAAATGATATTGTCTTCGAGTATCTCTTACTCTCTTGGATATCTGCTTTAACACCACAGTTTCTTTGTTCTTGTATTGTAATGGCTCATCTCTAACTTTTCTCAGTATTTCATCTCTTGTTGTTTTCTTTATAAATCTTACATGCACTTCTCTGGGTAATTTATATTTCCTTGCGTAACTTGAATTCATTCAAAATATTTCATCTATTTCCATTTGCATCTCTGCTCTGTCTGCTTTCAAAGCCTCTGCCAGGAGATCAATAATCACAACTGCTATATTTTTTTCTCTGTCTTCAGAAATATTTTGAAATCTTAAGTAGTGTTCCGCTTTCTCAATTTCTAAAATCGCTACCGCTCCTTCTAGATTTTGATTTGCTTGTTCTAATTTTTCATTTTCTTGTATTAGTACTTCCATTTTTGTCAATATCATCTGATTTATTTTCCATTTTCTGAATTCTTTGTTCATTTTTAACAATCATTTGGTGGTGGACTTCAAATTGTGTCCTTATGTCCGAGATTTGTTCGTTTAATTTTTCAAAATTACTTTTTGTCTCTTCATGGTTTTTTTGTATTGATTTTTGAATTAATTTTAATGTAGTTTGCATCTCGTTTTGATCAGTGCTTATTTTCTCATGCTGCAACATTGTTTCAATAGATCCCTAGCTTTTTGGGCTAGATGTTCCAACAGAGAGTGCAGAGGAAGTCTTTTTCATAAGTCTGGTGAGATTTGATGTACTCATTTTTCCAGCCAACTATCTTAGGCTAAAATCCAAACCGTAAAAGGAGCAAACTACTTTAGGCTAAATCCAGTATCTCAAGGAGAAAAAACAAAGTAAAAAAAGAAAAAAGAAAAAAAAGCCAACTATCTTAGGCTAAAATCCAGCCAAAAAGAACCAGCCAACTACTTTAGGTGAAATCCAAAACCTCCAGTCGAGTCACAGATGTAAAAAGCCCACTGTCTCCAAGTAATTCCTGTTTTAGTTATATCCAGAGTCAACAGATATAACTGTAGAAAGTCTTTTCACTTATAACTCACACAAAGGCACTTTGTTTACACCAGGTATTGTTTCAAGGTCAAACACTTTCAGGTTCTTTTATTATTTAGTATTACTGTAGTATCTCCTTTCACCACTAGATGTCCTCGTACACTGTTTTGTCAATGTCTGGTTTTAAAAGATTATTACAAAGTTTTTCTTTTAAAGTTCTTTATAGGTTATTTACCCTAGGAATTATATCTAAAAAAAATTTTTTTCACATCCTGTAGGATAGTCTTTCTTTGAGTCAGTCTAAATTAAATTTTTAAAAGTTCTTTTATCTTCCTTAAAATCCTTCCCCTTCCTGTAGCTGATTGCCACTTTTAACTCTCTCCTCCCCCAGTCCTTCTGGGGTCTTTACTTCATAGCTCTTTCCAATCAGGGGATCAACATTTCTAGGTCCAAAAGGAATGAAAGAGCAGGCTCACCCAGTTTTAGCACACCATTGACAATCAGCTGTTTAGCAGAGCACCACGGCTCCTCACTTTTCTTCCGTCTGGCAATGACTTGGGCTGTCTGGGCTTACCAGGCAGCCTTTCCTCCATCCTTTTGGAGGGTTTCTTCAGTCCATTTGGACTGACCGCCATTTGGTCTGGACTCCTGAGGCATCCCTCCTTCTTCATTGCCCCTCCAGGGCAACTTTCTGATCCCTTGTGGTCGCCGGGCAGAACAAAATCGGGCTAAGAAGCTGGAGTCCTGGCTTCTTCCACCCGTTTCGTCGAACGCTAGATCAGAAGTACTTAAATTTATTGATCTTGAAATTTATTTGGCAAGGAAAGAAAGCTAGAATTAAGATGAAAATGTTACAAGATGCCAAGGAAAATAGAGGACTTGGTTTACCAGAGTGGGTTTTATATTATCAAGCATCTGCATTAACGTGGGTAATGGCTGCATTAACAGCCTTAGAAATAAAAGGCTGTTATATTTGGAGGGGCATGATTTACAATTGGGGTGGCATGCTTTTTTATGGTACAGGAAAAATAAAGTTCATAAATATTTCCAAAATCACTATATAAGAAATGCATTATTAACAACATGGGAAAAAATAAAATGTAAAATATATTTGAAAATTCCAGGGTGGTTGTCAACTATGGAAGCATTTGTATAGCCAAATTTAGTGAACTTTGAAAAAATCTGGACATATAAAGATATTCTAAACTCTGAAGGGAATTTAAAATCTAAACAAGAAATGGAAAATCAGGGTATCAATTTATCATGGTGGGCACATTTACAAATGCATGTTACATATGATAAAGATGTTAAACTGTATGGATTTTATAAGGAATAAACTGTGTTTGATAAGACATTGTTAACTTCTGATGAGAAACTAATTAAGAAAATGTATAATTTTCTATTAACTTTGAAAATGGAAAGCAAACAAGTTAAAGAAACAATGATAAGATGGGCAAAATTTTTTGGATATAATATAGAATTAGAAAAATGGCAAAATTTATGGGAAAGAAATTATAAATTGACAATGTCAACTTCTTATAAGAAAAATTTATATAAAATGTTTTATAGATGGCATCTGTCACCAGCAAGATTAGCAAAAATGTTTAAAAATATGTCAGATAGATGTTGGAAATGTAAACATAAGTCAGGCATGTATTTTCTTTTTTGGTGGACATGTGACAAAGTAAAGAGTTATTGGAAAAAGATACATGCCTGGGTAGAAAAGATGTTGGGAGAACATATAGATTTTAAACCTGAACTTTTTTTTATTAGGTATAATGCCAGAAAAGACTAACAAACAAAGCATATATTTGAATTTGCATGTCACAACAACGGCAAGAATAATATTTCCGCAATACTGGAAAAATGAAGGAATACCATCAGATGAAGAAATAATTAAAAAAAATACTAGAATGCGCAGAGATGATAGATTGATTATAAGACTGAAAGAAAAAGAAGAAACGGAATATTATCAAACTTGGGACTTATTTTATTGATGGCTAGAGGAAAGAATAAAGGATTAGGAATTAAATATGTATTAACGAATGTAAACTCAGACAGCACGTTTGTTGAAAAATTATTACTGAATGTATGGGAAAAAAACAATAAAAACTTTTACAAAAAAAAAGTTGTCAACTTTTTGGGAGACCTCATGGCCCAGAATGCACTCACTCTACTGCATCAAAGAAAAGCTAAGATGCTTCTAATATACATACATTAAAACCAAAATAAATTTCTGTGATGACTGTCCTAGTCATGATACTATGAACCTCATTTAAGCACAATCCCTTGGGCATGTAGTGAAATTGACTTTAACCAAAGATTTGAAGAGAAACAAGGAAATAGCCTTGGGATGGTTGAACTCAGAATAGAGGACAGGTTTCTGTTATGTTCATGGAACTGAGTTGCTATGCAAAGAGCTGTTGTTCAACACATAACACATTTTGTTAATTCAGTTATGTAATGTTCAAAGATAAACATTTGTGTTGACCTGCCCCCTTTAAAGTTCAAATGAACCTATTATGACTATTGTGCTAACTGTCTTAAATTATTTATTTCTATGTCCTTTCTCCAGCTTATGAGAGCAGCAACAAGGAAGTTGGAGGATGCTTTCCAAACTATGCAAGTTTGGTAATTTTATGGTTTGTCCTGCAGTTTTCCCCCCAGATGTACCATATTTGTTAAAAGAGCAAAACAAAGAAGGAATAGGGTGGAATGCAGAGAACTGTGGGATTCTAGAACAAGTAGCAAAGATATCAATGACATGATCAGAGTGTTTCAGGCCAGTAAGTCAGAACTCGTTTGTCTATGTTAGAATTAGAAGGACACAATCTGAGGTTTGGATGATATATGGTTTTTTTTATGGCATGATAAAGTTAAGGTTAACATAGATTTTAAAATCATTATGTTAGAAGTGCCATACTATGAATATGGAATAGGTATAGACCCCAGCTATGCCCAAAAATGACTTTATCGATTTCAGCAAAAGCATTTTACAATATGAAAAAGAAACCGTAGGCAAAGTAAAATGGTTAACACTTCAAGATTTGGTAGTAGAAGAACATGGGGAACTTAAATATGTACAATTAAGAGAAAGATAAATAAAAGATAAATAAAAAAGTAATTGGAATTGAAAAACATAAAACAGAATTTGAAGTTTAATTTGTGATTGCTAAAATGTATAAACTTTTGCTGAGATTTAAAATGGAGGAAGAACAAGTTAAAGAGTGAATGATAAAATAGGCTAAGAATTTGGTTATAATGTTCAGATGGACCAATAGGAGAGAATGTGGTTAAAGGACTAAAATTCACATTATTACAATTTAAGAAAGAACTTTTACAAAATGATGTATGATGCCAGAGAAATTATCCAAGATGTAAGGTACAGTGTTGAAAATATGGGAAAGACTCATTTATGGTGGACTTCAGAAAAAGAAAAAAAAGGGATATCCATGCATAATAATGATAGAAAAAAATTTAAGGACTACTATTCAGATAGACGCAGAATTTTCTTTACTAAGATTTATGAGTAACCAAGTAGAAAAATCCCATGAAATATTGGTTTTATACACAATAACTGCAGTGAGACTACTGCACAAAAATGGGAAAATATTCAAATATCCACAGTGAAGGAATAGATTGTGAAAATGATGGAATTTGCAGCTAGAGCAAAATTGACCTTCTGATCAGGAATAAGACAAGTTATTTAGACTGGAAATTTTTAATGGACTTTTTGCTGAAATAAAAAAAGATGAACTGGTGATTTATAGATTTGCTGATTAATAGGGTTGAATATGGGAAGAAAGGAAATATGTACTTTAAAAGATGGAAGAGAGATACAAATAAGGTTTGTTTGTAACTGCTGTAAAGCTTCTTTATATATCTTGATTGTTGTATATGTACTATTTTTCATACATTTTTTTCCTTTCCTTGATCTTACTTTGTATCATTTCATGTTTACGTTCTATTTCTGGAAAATCTTCAATAAGAAATATTTTTTTAAAATAAACAAATTTCTCTAGAGTAGTTTTTCCTCAGGGATTTAGGGCCAGTTGAGTGGAATCTCCTTCTGGTTGTTTTAATTATGATACTTGGTCACCATTTTATATTCTGTACTTCATATTCATACTGAGTTATGATGTATGCTTTAACATTAAATGCTTTTTTGTTTATTGCTTGTTTTTTTTTTTGTTGGACACCACCCAGAACCACACTGTTGAGCTGGGCAGACATACCATTTGAGTACTTCAATTAAGTCTCATTAGCTCAAGGATTATGTACATCTGCCATCTTCTGTGCATCTCACAATGGCAGAATGAAGGTCATGTTCTCAGTTTACCCAGAGCTCTGTAATGTCTACTGGAAAATCCCATCTTCTGGGATCATGTAACAGAGCCATACCTGCATAGTAGTATGCACTGCTAAGAAATATTGATAATGGTTAGGTTTGCCTACCATTATCTTTGATCTCACTGAGAATTATCAGAATTGTAAGACGTTCACAGCTGTCTCTCACCTTTCTTTAAGTAATGATTTAGGTCAGACTTCTCAAAGTATGCATAAAAATGAATATTCTTTTGATCATCTCAATTTGCAGTATTGAAAAAGAAGATAAAAATATTATTCCAGCATAAATTAACTCTGCATGTCTTTGAATGAAACCATTTACATCAGCGTGTGCAAATGACTATAATCTTCACCTCTTTCTTTAATGCCTACATGCAGATCTGGGCTGCAGAACTCCCAATGACCACTAGATGGAGGCAAAGAGTTAACATTTCTGTTTGTTGTCCTCAAATGGTCATCCAGATATATGCAGTCCAGATGCAGTAGCCCTCCCTGTGTGAAACCAAGGAGAATACTGGCAAATATGTTACATAATGTATTTATTTCAATGACTTACACAGCTGCCTGTTTCATGGCAATGACTCTGGGAGGTGTAGAAAGAAGAAAACCTACAAAAAAAAACCCCAATCCGAATAACCAATATCTATGACTGCAAAAATTATTCCAAATACAGAAAAGAAGAATAAGATAGACCAGCAGAGCTTGCTCATTCTCCAGGTATAAACATGTGGGGAAAACCTCATAAAGGCAATTGACAGGTCCCAAATCACCTCTGGATATTAAAGATATAGGTGTCCTGGGTTTCTTTGCCACCCAGTCACATTAGGTATTTTTGATCAGTAAATACCACTGACTAGCAGACTCCAATACATCACAGTTTCCAACGCACATAAGAAGAATACTGATAAACAGCAAATGGCACTTACAGTTGTGGAGTTCTTGCTGAAGTGAAGAATGCTCTGTTGCACAAGATGAATGTGAAGCTAGGTGAGGAAATTATCACCCCAGCATGATTCAAGAAAGGCTGCCATTTGCCAGCAGCTGGGAAAGCAAGAGCAAAATCTTTCCGCAGCTCCGGCTGCCCGCAGAGCAAGTGAAATAAGTGCATTCTCAGCCTTTCATGAACATCCCTTTTGTAGCTATTGTTGCTTGTTGCCTGGAAGGCGGAGACTATGGAACTTCAGCAGCTGCTTGACTCAGATGAGCAGCCCAGAAGAAAGAAGTCTTTAGTCAGAACACAATTAGAAAATGTGCCAATTCTACTGTTTTCTCCCCCACCTTCTCTCACACACATACACAAGTCCATCCTGTTGAAACATTTTCTCCATGCAATCCAGTTGAAATATAGACATTTGTTGAGAAATAATTATCAAAAGTCGGTTTCCTTCCTTCCCCTTCCTTTTCCCCTCCCTCCCTCCTTTCCTTCTTCCCATTAGAATCATCCTCATTTCTTCCAGAAACTGTTATATAAGGTTTCCAGAGCAGCTTGTCAAATGCTGTCATACTGAGAATAAACTTATTGTGCGTGCCAGTTTCTCCGGAAAAACTTGACAAACACCAAATAAACTCTCTTATGATACAGTAGCAAAACCTTAGCCTGTTAAAAATCAATACACATAAAAACAAATGGCAAAAAAAGTGGAGACCTTTTCTTAAACCTTAAGACTCTATGCCCTCAGCTAAGTTTCAGGGTTGGGAAATTTGTTTCAGGCTGAGAGCTGCACTTGTGTTTTAATGTCTGGCCAGAGGCACATTCCAAAAATTTGTGGGGAGGGCCATGTATGTGATTTCATTTGATTGATATTTAAATTAGTTCATGTAATTGCTTTCCAAGCAATCCTATATTTAACTATGTTATATTCTAGTAATGTAGTAACAATACCTTGGAGAACTCATCTAAGGCTTTCAGGGGCAGCTTTGTATTAGGTAATTTTTCTTCATAATCTTTCTCTAATTTCTGCATGCAAAAACTCCAAGAAGAGAACTTAAAGAGGCACTGGACAACCTCTTTTCATTCTTTGTGAGTTTACCTGGTATGTATAAGCAAGCAAAAGACAAATATGAACAGTACCACAAAGGCTGCTATTGTGTCGAAATCCTAGCAACAAGAAACCCAGAGATTTGTTGGCTCTTAGGCTGTTTGTCTGTGGTTCCCCCTGGGCATATGTGATAAACCTCTGAGAGCTCCTAGAAGAGCGTCCCAAACCCCTCAGCCATACAACAGAATGAAATATTGGGTTTTGGATGGCATAATTTGTCAGGGAAGAACACAAGATATTCTGAATAGTGCAGCATGCTTTTTCCCCCAGTGTTGGCTGTCACCAAGGGTTCAGACAGCAACATGTTTAGGAAGAAGACTAAACATTTCTGAATGAATATTGTTAACATTTTGAGTACTTTAGAAGTATGGAAGGACGCTAGCTCTCTTATATACCCCCTCAGCCTGTAGAAAATCCTATTACAGGTTCAACTGAAATCCTGAAGAGGAACAGATAATTATTGTAGAAATAGTAAGGATTTGACTTTCTACAGCCTCAATTCTTACCTTCCTAGCTTCTAACAGGGAGTGCTAACAATAGTGGAAATGTTGAGAAGAAATAATCACATGAACATGCAACATGTTTGTGTACTCCAAAACAATCCCAGCTACCACCACCACCGCTGCACTACTAACACTTGAGAATTAACTATCAAATTACAGAAGTGTAATGTTTGATTTTTTAAAAATGCAGTAATTAGGCTTAATATCTTTTAACAATTTAAAAATGCATCCCCTTTTCATACAAACTCATAAATTTTTTCTTCACAAGGTACAAACAATTAAACAAGGCAATCAATATTTCCATATACAACACCTGAGTTGTATTAGAAAAAGCAGGAATTCTTTTTTGCTAAATTTGCTACATAAATAAATAAATTCTCTCTGCTTGTTATTTTTTAAGAGAGAACATCTGGTGTCCATTGCTGTCTAATGGCAGAAGTTTCTTCTGCACTATTAGACAATTGATATTTATTTCCTCCTATAAACTAGGAATCTGAAGAAGAATACCAGCACTAATATATCTTCTGCACTGACTTTCCAGGTTAGGTCTTGATTCCTCTCCAGCTCTGGTTCCAGAGTCTGAATTCCCAGGATAAATAAGTCAGAATAGATTAGGTTAAGTTGTTTCTTCTTATGGCAGTATTGGGCAACCCTTGTGTGGCCAAGAGCCACAGTCAACATTTTATAAAAGCATAAAATGCATATTGTTGAGTCCTCAGTTAATGGCAATGACGGCGCGAGACATTCTGTGGTTTCAGAAACTCTTTATTGTCTTCAGTAGCCCCATTACAACTCTGAGCAGAACAAACCTCTCAGCCTCTCTTAAAGACGATCCCCGGGCCAAAAAGCAACATTTAGGCGTGCTGCATGCCTCGCGCATGCGCATGAGCGCTGGCGCCAGCCAGTCTGGTCCCGGGCAGCTTGCAACTGCCTGGGACTATTGCAACGTCCCGAGCCTGCCTTTGCAGGCTCAGGACACAACACCCCTTCCCCCCCGGCTAAGACTATATGAATAATTACACGCGACCTCAACATGAGCGTGGTGTGCCCACCCTTGGTACCATGCTATTGTTCTGGGGATTAATTCCCATTGTCCCCTTTTCTGGCTTCCACAGAAACTCCATCTTACTGTTTCTGCTTTGCCAGCAGAGTTATAAAATCTTCGAGATATTTGGGAGACCTCTTATCTCTCTGTGATCTCCGTAGGCCCTGATAATTCCCAGATACACCTTGTCCAGAGGAGGCTATAGGTTCACCCCCTTTCTCAGACCCTGGTGGCCCCCGTGGACCATGCCCCGCTGCCTGGCCTGCTTGCTTGCCCACCGGGCTCGTCAGACCAGGACTTTGCTCTCTCTCTAACCTGGTTGACCTGCCTAGTTGCAGGCGTTCTGGCCCCTCTAGAAGGCTGCCACTGTTGGGCAACTCTGAAGAGCCTCCCGAGCCCACACTGGACCTAGCATGAGGCTGCCTTCCTCCATTCCCCAGTTCCATAGTAGGACTGTCTGTAATTTCAGTACTGTCCCAAAACTCAGTTGCCCCCTCCGTTGAACCAGAGGGTTCAGGATCTGGATTTGGCCCTTCTATCACTTCCCTGTGGAAGTGTCCTTTTCTGGGGACGGTGGCAATGTTGGGCCAATTGCGTTGATTGTGTGCCAGCTCTCTTGCAATGTTTGAGTTATTAGGATGCTCCCGGTTATTCTCCCTGACTGGAGTGCTGAAAGGTGTAAGTGTGTAATGATTATGCCCCTGGGGTGACTCCCTGGCTGGAGTATGCACTGTAGCCTGTGTGCTAGCTGGTTCCCCTGAATTCTTGTTCGGAACACTCACAGAATCTTGTGATAGGCCATCTGTGGCCTCTCTGTTGGGGCCTGGTTGCTGCCAATACCCCTCCCTTTGCCCGTAGGGGTCCCTCTCCCTCCCTGGAAAGGAACCAGGAGTCTCTGAAGGTAAGTCCAGTCTTGTACGCAGCTGGTCGATATGCCGTCGCAGGATATGACCATCATCCAAGGAGACCTCGTAGGGCAAAGAACCTGTAACCTTGCAAACTAGAGCAGGAACCCACAAGTGACCTGGCCCATAGTTACGGGTCCATACTGGGGCACCCACTTGTAATTGCCTCGGTGCCCTGGGTTGTGTACTCCTAGGAGGCAATCTGTCTGGGTGCAACCGGTCAAGTTTAGTAGTCAGTTTGCGCCCCCAGCGAAGTTCAGCTGGGCTTCTCCCCGTAGAAGTGGAAGGTGTAGTGCGGTAAGCAAGGAGGAAGTCAGCCAACCTGTGATGCCAGTCCCCATAGGTCAGTTTCTTTAAAGCATCCTTGGTGATGCGGCCCATCCATTCAGCTATCCTGTTGGTGGAAGGGTGGAAGGGCGCAGAGGTGGCGTGACGAATCATGTTGGCCTGTAAGAAAGCTTGGAATTCGGAAGAAGTGAATTGAGGGCCATTGTCAGACACCAAAACATCCGGAAGCCCATGTGCAGCAAAAATCCCCCTCAGTACTTGGATAGTCTTTGCAGTGGTGGTGGAAGAGACAGGTACAACCTCAAGCCGTTTTGAATAGCTATCAACCAGGACCAAGAAGAATTGACCCTGAAAGGGCCCAGCATAATTGATGTGCACCCTAGACCATGGAGACTGTGTTTCTTCCCATCTATGCACAGGAGCCTGAGGCATTTCTGGGCATGAGCGCTGACAAAGGTGGCAAGCGTGCACCTTAACCTCAATTTCCTTGTCTAACCCAGGCCACCACAAATGGCTGCGCGCAAGCGCCTTCATTCGTACAATGCCAGGATGACCCTCGTGAAGGGAACCTAAGACCCTAGACTTCATTGAGGTAGGAATGACAACTCTGCTGCCCCACAGCAGACAACCCTGGAAGGTGGATAACTCGTTCCTTTTCAGCCAGAAACTCTGAAACTCAGTGCCTGGACAACTCTCTGGCCATCCAGACAAAACCCAGGATAAGACACGAGAGAGTGTGAGATCTGTGGCTGATTCAGCAGCCACATCCCTGGCGTTTAGAGGTGATTCAGGCAGTGCCTGAATTGAAAGGATGTTGATTGCCAGGGCTGGATCAGCCTCTACTACTTGTAAGGGTAATCTACTGAGGCCATCACATGGCCCATTTCTTTGCCAGGTTTGTGAATTAGAGAAAAGTCATAGGCTGACAGGAATATTGACCATCTGAGCATCCTGGGGGAGATGATGTGGGGGGGGGGTCTGTTTGTTAGTGGTAAACAACCCCAACAAAGGCTTATGATCAGTATAGACCGTGAAATGTCTGCCATATAAAAAATCATGGAATTTTTTAATTCCAGCAACAACAGCTAAGGCCTCCCTGTCTATCTGGGCATAATTCCTTTCAGCAGAAGACAAGGTTCTGGAGTAATATGCAACAGGAACCTGAGTTCCATCTGGTCTGAGGTGACTGAGTACTGTTCCTACTCCATAAGGAGAAGCATCACAAGCGATGCACACAGGAAGAGTTTCATTGAAGTGTGCAAGCACATTGTTGGACGTTAGTAAGGCTTTAACTTCATTGAAGCTTGCTTCATGTGCCTGTGACCACTGCCACACTGCCTGTTTGTCCAGAAGTCTATGAAGTGATTCAGCTACATTAGCCTTGTTAGGAATGAATGAGTTATAAAAATTCAAGAGTCCCAGAAAAGCTTGCAGTTCAGCTTTAGACTTAGGTCTAGGAGCTTGCATGATAGCTTTTAATTTGGACTCAGCAGGATGAATCCCATTGGCATCAATTTTGAATCCCAGGAAATCTGTAGAAGGCACCCCAATTTTACATTTGTCCTTTTTAAGCTTGAGTCCTGTTTCCCGGAACCGCAGCAGGACAGCCCTCAATCTCTCAGCTAGATTTTGGGTGGAGTCTCCAGCAATTAAGACATCATCAAAATAGGGGCAAACCCCTGGTATACCCCTCAAAGTATTTTCCATTACCCTTTGGAAAATTCCAGGAGCCACGTTTACTCCAAATTGTAGTCTCTTGACTTTGAATGCCCCCCTATGAGTTACAATGGTTTGTGCTACAGCAGCAGCTTCATCAACAGGCAGCTGTTGATAAGCCTGTGCTAAGTCAAGCTTTGCAAAAACACGTCCCCCCCTTGAGGGAGGCCAGAATATGGCTGACTACAGGTACAGGAT